AAGTGAGTCTATTTGTTCTGTTCCCTGCTCTGTCTCTGGTGAATCCTCTCACCCTTCAGACCTCTGGCCTGTACCCCGGTTCTTGTGTGCATAAATAAATCTTTAAAAAAAAATGAGGCTACTTAGGAGTGATGTCATAGAAAATGGCAGACAAGGAACTTCAAGAATGTCTCCCTACACTGAAGCAACAATTACGTTGGCAAAAACTGACAGAATCAGCTCTATTTATAGCTCTGAAACCTAATGGAAAAGCAAACAAACCAAAAAAACTCTAGCACAACCAGGGGAGTAATTCACAAAAAAAGAGGCTACTAAATTTAGGTTAAAAGCACTGCAGCACTTGTACCACCATCTCCCATTCCCCAGTCCGGCAGCAGTCCTGGTGACAGTGACCTGAAATCCTGGCATAACTTACTGGTGCCAGGGTGGGCAGCAAGAAACCTATTCTGAAAAAAATCTTGTTGCTATTTTGATCAGCCTGCCAGTTCTCTAAGGCATGGGTATAGGGAGTGATCTTTGCTTCAGCCCCTTCCCACAGGTTGAAGAGCAGCTTCCCAGGTGGCATCTGTAGAAAGCACTTAAAAACTTGTATTATCTACATGTGTGGGGTGAAGGCAGATGGGGTAAGCAGACAGACCAAAAGGACTGGAAAGGAGGAGAATAAGGAGGAAGCCATTGGGAGAATAAAGCTTTTCAGGCTACTTTGTAGTCCTGGGAAATCCAGACTGCAGGGAATCCAGACTGCAATGTTTATAGTAGCACCCCTGACAGTAGACAAAAGGCAGAAACAACCCAAATGTCCATCCATGGGTGAATGGATAAAGATTGTGGCTATTCCAGTCCATGCAATGGAATACTATCCACCCATAAAAAGGAATAAAGGGCTGACACATGCTACAATGTGGATGAACCTTGAAAACATTATACTAAGTGAAAGAAGCCACACACAAAAGGTCAAGTATCATATGATTCCATTTACAAAGTATACCCATTATAGGTAAATACATAGAGACAGAGGTAGATAGGTGATGGGGGTAAGAGAACAAAAGGAACTTTCAATGGGTACAAATATTTTTTTGGAGTGATATTTTGTAATGACATAGGTGCTGGTGGCAACTATTGTAAATGTACTAAATGCCACTGAATCTTATCCTTTAAAATAGATTTTGTGGACCTCCCTGGTGGCACAAGGGATTGAGATGCAACCTATGAAGATGTCTGCTGCCACTGCAGCATGAGTTCAATCCCCAGCCCTGGCGCTACCCACATGGCACAGCAGACCTCTCCTGTTTCCCCAACTGCTCCCCTCAGCAGTGTATTTCAGTCAATCTGCCTGTTCTGTTCCCCACTCCGTCTCTAGTGAATCCTCTCACCTCTGTACCTCTGGCCTGTACCCCAGTTCTTGCATGCATAGGTAAATCTTATTTATTTATTTTCTTATTTATTTTATACAAGCACTGGGTATAGTCAGAAGCGCAGGAGGTGAGAGAACTCACCAGAGCCAGAGCAGGGACTAGAACAGGCGACTGCCGAAACACACTGCTGAGGGGAGCAGCGGGCACGGCAGGAGAGGTCTGCGCGATCGAACTGGCGCTGCGGAGGCTGCGGGCAGCTTCACAGCCCAGCGCTCAACCGCTGCGCCACCAGGGAGGCCCTACATATGTAAATCTTGAAAGGCGGCGCAGCTTGAGCGCTGCGAAGCTGCCCGCGGCCTGCGGCGCTTCGAGGCTGCTCACAGCCCATGCGCTCTCCACCGCTGCTCCCCTCAGCAGTGTACAGCCCTGCCTGCTGCTCTGGCTAATTCTCTCACCCTTCTGACTGTAAAGTGCATGTATAAACAAACAAACAAATATAAAAATAAAAAAAAAAACATGAAAAATAAAAATAAAATAAATAAAATGGATTTCGTGTCCTGTGAATTTCACCCTAATTTTACTAACTGAAGTTACTCAAATAACACAGAATTATTGACAATTACAACTCACCCCACAGACCCCACATTCTGGAAAATTCCCGGAGCCAATCCTCAGGCCAGGGGTAGCAACAACGTCTCCTATTTAATTTTAACCGGGAGTTCTGGTGACTTACTACCAGTAAGCCCTCCGGAGGGGGGGGGGGAGGCCGGTACCTGAAAACTACAGAAATTAGCCCAGGAAGCAAACGCTCTGTCTCCCCGCGGTGCCGCCAAGACCCTGTGAGGCGCCAGGTCGAGCCTCTCCACCTAAGGTCACCGCCCAGCCCCACGTCAGGTCAGTGCCCGCGGGGGGCGGAGGCCCCGGGCAGGCCCGGCCCGGCGCGCGGGGCTCCCCTGCACCGGCCGGCGGCGGCGGGGTCAGGCGGGGACCGGGCGGCGCGCGGGGCGCCCGCGGGCGGGGCCGGGGCGGGCCGGGGCGGGGTCTGCGCGCGCTGGGGCTGCCCGGGCGCCCGGCCAGCGGCGTCAACGCGGCCGGAACGCCGAGGCGGAGCAGGTGAGCGGGCGGGGCGGGGGGCGCGCGCCGGGGCCCTGTGCCCTGCGGCGTGGAGGCCTGGGGTGGCCGCGGCCCGCGAGCCCGGCTCTGCCCCCGCGCGACCCTCGCGCCGCCGGCCGCGCTCCTGTGGCCGGCCCCGGGGCTGCGGTCCCCGCGCGCCTCGGTCCGGGCCTCTGCGGCCAGCGCGGGGGTGGGGGGGGGGGGGGAGGGGAGGGGGGAGGGGAGGGCGCCCTGAAGGCGGCGACGGGGGCCGACCCGGAACTGGGGGTGGAAGGAGCGCGGAGAGCGGCCCCCAGGCCTCGGGCCTCCAGCCGCGCGGGGAGTGGGCGCGGTGGGGGCTGCTCAGGGCCGGGCATTTAAAGGAACCGCGCACGTGGGTCCCCACGGCGTGTGGTCGGGGGACGGGGCGGCTGGGGCGGGGGCAGGGGGAGGAATGGCGTTTTATTCTTCCCTTTTAGCTGGGACCTCCTCGGCGCCCAGTTCTGGGAGCCTCGTTTCTTGGCCCAGAGCACTGCTTCGAGGGGCAAGTGGGGGGGTGTCTTTCCACTTATGTGAGGCCCACCGGGACCCCAAGTCCTGGCCTGAAGCAGGCGATTTCGTTTGGAGGTTTTTAGCTGTTTCATCGAGCATTTGCAGCTGGAGGGGCTCCCAGAATTAAGCTTTTGAAGCTGAAGGAAACGAGCTAGTCCCTACCCCAAATTTTATCAATGAATAAACTCAGCCCAGAGTCCAGATGACTGTCCAACGCCACTCAGGTAGGATATGCAGAAGCAGCCTTAGAACCCTTTGTCCCGACCTCTAGTTCTGCTGTCCTGCCCTGGGACCAGACCTCAGGCCTTTGGCAGTTGGATGGAATGCTCCGGCGATGACTTAATGAGTATTCCCCTTTCAAGGTATGAACTGTTGATTGGTGGAGGAGTAGCTGCATCCCGTTTACTGAGGGAGAGCCTGCGAGGCCTCCCATAGAGAATGACTGCAGAGTCAGTTTAATTCAAAATTCATACCCTAAGCTGCTGAGCCCACCCTGAGAGTAACTTGATCAGGACAGACCTTGCCTCAGGTATAGATGCAGTGCCTTCCCCCACCCCCCACCCCCACCCCAAGCCTGTATAGTGCATTCTGTAGACATCTGAGCCTCCAAGGCCTCCAGCCAAGACCTTTGGCAGGGACTAAAGTTTCTGGATAAGCTGTTTCAGGTGTGTGTACCTCAGGTTCCCTTTTGTGTGTGTGGCTGTGTGGGAGAGGGGAACCTGCCAGCAGCTGTTTTCTGGGTCCAGCTGGTAAAGGGGCAGGGGTCAGAGCTGGCTGACCACCCAGGTTTGGGCTTTGGAGGAGGACTTTAGGCAGGGCCTGGAATCTTGGGGGAATGTTACAGTGGAGTGGGGTGGATGTCATTTCAGGTTTCAGGAAAAATTCTACATTTTGCTTGGTGTTGACGTATCTGAGTCTGGTAACTGGCTTATCCCTGTAATGGGGAGTGAATAATGGGGAGTGAATAATGGGAAGTGAATGCCTTGTTCCCATCTTTGGTGGGGGGGAGGGGAAGGAAGAGAGAACCTGGCCAGAGGCTCCAGCTCACATGCCTGGAGGCCCAGTGCAGGTTGCCTGCCTGTCACCCCTTCCTCAGCTGCCCCCTGGCTGCTCACAGTCCCCCTGACACACAGGGTTTGCCAAGTGAGACTACCTTGGCCTCTCTCTACGTTATTAATAATGACCTAACATACCTTACTTTATGAGTTTGTCATTTATATAAAAGTGGATTTGTACAGCAATCACAGTTATCTTAAGAGCTTTGATCACTCTGAAGTCGTTATTTTCACTGTTACAAGAAGAGAAACAGGTTTCTAGGATTTGAACCCGTTGGCTAAGTCATCTTTATCTTTCAAGTTTTTGCACATGAGGCTTCCCATGTTCACTGCTACTCTGCATTACTGCCCAGATTTCTGTGTGATTTCCATTAGTAACTACAAAGCAAATAAAAAATGTTTCTTGATTTTTGGGGAAATCAAAACTGTAGGTCATGTGCAGGTTTGTGTTGAAGCCCTCTTTGACCTGTTTTCAGCTGTTGCTTTGACTTTTGAACACTGCTTAGTTGGGTCTGGAAAGACAGCACTTGCTCCTGAAAGTATGTCCACCTGTTCCCCCACTGGACCAGTTGGAAAGGAATGCGAGGACTCTGGGGCTGCCATGCCCACCCGACTCCAATGGCCAGGTCTGGGAGGTTCTCCTCAACCTGAAGCTCTGACATGAGCTTCAAGCCTTGTAATTGCCCCTCTCCCTGTCCTATAACAGTATCACTGTTGGCCTCTGGGCCTGGAGGTTGCTGAAGTTGCCAGTTAAAGTCTGGGGGGGAAAGTACCTTCAAATTAATCCTCAGAATGTCCGAGGAGAACATTCTTGTCCAGTCTCTTCATTGCATGGGAGAATGGGCCGAACGGGCCACTCACTCATTTTTATTAGTATGTGGTCTTCTGGAGCATGGGAAGAAAAATGAAAGGGTGCTCACTTTTCTCCTGACATTTTTTAAAATAGAAGAAATACGTGTTTATTCTAGAAAATGCAATAATTTATATTGTAAAAGTCACCTAGTAGCATTGAGCCCAGAGATAACCACTCTTAATATGCATGTCCTTGCAGCTCTTTATGCGCATATATACCTTTGCCTATTAAAATATTAGGGGTAGGAGAGGCCTCCCTGGTGGCCTAGGGGTTAAGTCTCAGCACTATCATCGCTTTGGCCTGAGTTCTGAGTTGGATCCCCCGCCAGGGAGCTGACCCACATATGGCACAGCAGACCTCTCCTGTTTCTCCCTTTGCTCCCCTTAGCAGTGTATTTCAGTAAGCCCACCTGCTTTGCTCCTCACTTTGTCTCTGTTGAATCCTCCCATCCCGCACACCTCTGGCCTACATCTCAGTTCTTCTATACACACACACACACACACATATTAGAGGTAGGAAGCTGCAGATTAACTTTTGTTTATTATTTTTTCTGCTAGTGTTATACTTTCAGAATTTTCCTCCATTGAGAATTATTGGAAAACTGGATTTGATGGATATGTAGTTATTTGAATGTGCGTTTTATTTATCTTACTAGTCCCACAGCAGGAAACTTTCCCAGAGAGGCAGTGCCCTGTCTCCTACCCCCAGCCCCACAGGTGGGCACTTCCCCCAAAAGTGCCATGCCCAGGTTGAATCCCCACCCCCACCTTGTGGAGCTTTGGTAGCAGAGAAGGCACAGAGAGGGCCCCAGGCCTGGTGGCAGGTGATCTGGCGAATGAGTGACTTGGCATATGTCACCTCTTGTCTGTGTTTTGGAGAAATTACATATTAAAGAAAAGGCTCATATCTGCCCATGGCAAAGGCATATGCCTTATAAATACGGGTGCACCCGGAGAGGCCACATGGTATGCTGTGTGGGCTGCCTAGGTCACTGAGGATGTGACCCTCACAATCACTTTGAATGGGCAGGGCAGAGCGTCTCAGTTGGCAACTGGGAGACCTGAATTGTAATTGTGGCTTTTGGTTATGGAACTTTAACCGATTCCTTTAGCCCCGTTGGGCTTCGGTTTTCTTAACTATAAAATAGGGTGCTTGCCAGTTCTGATGTTGATTCTATAGAAGTCCCCTTTCATTTGACAGAATGTTCCGTTGTCAGAGTGCCTTGGCTGGGGTTAGGTGGAAACAGGATGTCACCCTGGGGCCTGGGTGAGGCCTGAGCTTGGTAACTTAACTTGTGTGTCTGGTGGTTTAGCAGATGTGTAACTTTACAAGAGAGTTTGCAGGCTTTCATTGTCCCCTCTCACTGTGCCCTGCATCCATTTCATCTCCATTATAACGACCATTTATTGAACACCTACTATGTCGACACTTCACGAGTTATCTCTAGTTTTCATAGTAGTCTTGCAAGGCATCCCTATCCTAGTTTTTATAGAAGAGGAGATGGGCCCTATGAGGTTAAATAAATTGTTTGAGGCCATACAGCCAGGGAGTATGAGGTTCATGTCACACAGCTAGGAGATTCAAACCCTGCCAGCCTCCAAAGCCTCAGTTTTTGACCGTTGGACCGTTGGCTTGCTGCTTCTCATTAGAAAGGATGGAGGGAGGTCTGCTTAAATGGGGCATATTAGGGGCATGGCCTCTGTGACGACCCTCAAAGCTTCCCTTTGCCACTTCCCCCAAACTGCCCCTTTTCCAGGAAGTGGGAGAATCTGCCTGGGTCATGGCACTTCTGAAAAGTAAAGGGCAAAAATAAACATAGAGTCTGGGTCTAGGCTCAGGGAGGCCCCACCACATTCATGGGCTCTGTGACATGGGAGGGTGGAATGTTACTTCAGAGCCTTCCTGACGGACTTGGGTCCCAACTGTGGCCCAGGCCACTCCCTATGTTGGGGAGAGCCATCTGGCAAGTGACGTGCAGCATGGTATGGACTGAGGTGGATGGACAGATAGATGAAGGCCAGCCAAGACCCAGGGATGGGAGAGACAGGCAGGCAGGGGAGCTGGGGCATTTTCTAAGAAATCTCACCTTAGCAAGCCCTTCCCTTATATAAGGGAAGATAGGGGAACTTCCCAGGAGTCAGGGGAGCCTTCTGGATACCTGGGTGATCATAGAAGGTGACCTGTTTAAAACCAGTACTGCCCTTTTTGAAAGTGAGGGAGCTCTGTTCCTTGGACTTGCTTCAAAAACAAACACAGTATCTGGGATCCCAGCCTTTTTCTGCAGCCCCAAGTGTTCATGGTAAGTGCAGTTGCTGCAGTTTGCTTTTTGAGCAGCTGTTTCCATCTTTTCCAAGAGGCATGAGTGTTTACGCTGGCATTTGAACATCTATTTCCTAGTTAGGTCAAACTCTTATATTTCTCTGAAAGGAAAAGAAAGTAGAGGAAATTGGGTCACCAGGTTTCCATAATAATTGCAGGAACTGCTGACACAGGCTGAATTTGGGAAAATTCTCTGGGTCAGACCCTCCCAGTTTGGCTAATTCAGCATTTCCATCTCATTCAGCTGATGAATGAGAGTGAGCAGTGGCTTGCTTGATTTTGCATCTTAATCCTAGACAGCTTCCAGCCACTCGGTTCTGGGAAGGGCTTCTAGAAGAGTCTTACACACTGGAACCCTCCTTTCCCATTAGCCCCTTTGCTTTTTTTCTGTGGCTTTCTAATAGAAGGGAGAGCTGGTTGCTATGTGGCTGGTAGGATTTGACATCACGTGCCCCACCCCCGCCGGCCCCTGAGTCAGCCTCCTGCGGGAGTTCACGGGCGTCACTGGCACTCTGGTGTGGACAAACATCTAGCAGGAGGTTGTTTATGTGCATTTATTTGGGTAGTGATTTTTTTCCTCTAAGGATTTTAGAGTACCATGAAGGCTTTAATTCCAACGTAGATGCCTGGCAAAGCACCCTCTTAGGAATTCAAAAGGAGTCCAATCCAGCTGGTCTGTTTTCCTTTAAGAGTCACCTAATGAGAGGGGCTAGGAGAAGATCAAAAGTGTCTTCACGTCCATCTGTTCCCCCAGACCAGTGAGAGGAGAGGTGGAAGGCAGGCAGGGAAGAAAGTCTGTCTAAATGTTGACACTCATTATTTCCCTTTAAAAACTACGGTGGTCCTCCCTTATCCTCAGGGTGTGTGTTCCAAGACCCCCTGAGGATGCCTGGACGTGCAGGTGGTACCAAAACCTACATATGTAGACTGCTTATTCCTATACAGTCATACATTTGAGAAAGTTTAACATAAACTAGGTACAGTAAGAGATTAATAACAACTAATAATAAAAGTCAACAACAGTGTACTGCAGTAAAACTTATGTGAATGTGTTCTCTAATACTTTTGGATCACGATTGACTGCAGGTGACTGAAATCTTGGCAAGCAAAACTTTGGATAAGAGTACATTATTATAATAGCTTAAAAAGAAAACTACAGGTAGGGGTAGTGGGCACCATCCATGTAGTAGCTTTAAGAAATGCAGAAAAATATAAAGTGGAAAAACCACCCACTATTTTGTTATACTTATTATTTTGTAATATTCTTATTGAACCTTCAAATACACGTATTTTCTACGAAAATTGAGATGATTATATATGTGAAGTTTTATATCAAATTCAACATCTAGTTATATTTTTTTCACATTATTCTTTGAAATAAGATTTTTAATGGTCGGGCCTCCCCGGTGGCGCAGCGGTTGAGCGCTGGGTTGCGAAGCTGCCTGCAGCCTCTGCAGTGCCGGTTCGATCCCCGGCTGCTCCCCGGCCACCAGAGGAGGGTCCCACATGTCGCGCAGGCCTCTCCTGCTGCCCGCTGCTCTCCTCAGCAGTGTACTTCGGTCCTTCTGCCTGCTCTGCTCCCCGCTCTGGTGAATTCTTTCACCCTCCCACGCTTCTGACTGTACCCAGTGCTTGTATAAATAAATAAATAAATCTTTAAAAAAAAAAAAAAGATTTTTAATGGTCATGTAGTACACATCATCATATCATAAAGTACAATCCAGCCTTTCAGTCATTTTTTACTTTTTTTGAAATTCTAAGTAACTGTAGCAAACATGCTTTTATATGAATCTTTTATTATTTTCTTAGGACCAATTCCAAGAAGTAGCATTTCAGGATCAAAAGGTACGAATATTTTTAACATTTCCACTTTTCCCTACCTTCAGAAGGATAGGTCTGCTAAGCACCAGTGGTGTTCAAGAAACAGTTTTCTACCCCCTCCTCCACCCCCTCCTGGGTGGGCATCTCAAGCTTTTTCAGCTTGAGAGCTCTCTTCTCCCCCTGCAGCTGTTCCTATCTGAGAAGCTTCTATTCCTCCCTGCTTCCAACTGTCACTCTTTGACCAGACGGGGGATTCGGAAGACAGCACTGTCCATTCTTTCACCCCCATTCAGCAAGCAGGTGTTGCTGGGCACTGGGGTGAGGCGGGGGCTAGTAGGTGGGGGAAGTGCCCAGGCCATTGATGGGGGCTGTAACTGGACACTTGCAGTGTGGAGCTGGAGGCCCTGACCGGGGCGTCTGATTACAGGGCCGTGGCAGTCCCAGGGGAGGCCTAACGTCAGCCTGAGAATCGCCCAGGGACTGCCTCAAAACCCAGTTCCCTAGACCTTTGGTGAAGATGGAGCTCAGGGATCTGCATTTATTAGCATTGTGTTGAAGAGCATGGAATCTGACTACCTGGGTCAGGTAATTTTGAACCTATCACTTTTTAAACCCGTTACCTGGTCTGTCAAGTGGGGAAGAACCATAGTATCTAGTTTCTGGGGTTACTATGTTTAGCGCATAGTTGGGACTCAGCAGGTGATATTCTACTACTCCCACCTGGCAGGGGGGGGACCAGTTTGAGAAACTGAGATCTCAAGGGCTCCTGCCTTTCCTAAGTGCTAAGTCCTGCTTCAGGTGCTGAGCTCTGAGAAGTGCGTCCACCTGTTAGGCCCATCTCACCAGGCCGGGAGGGCTGGGATTAGATGGTACCCTTGCTTTGACAGCCAAGACCAGCTCTTCTCTGATACTATCTGGCTACAATCCCCCCATCCTACTTTGCTTTTCTAGAAATCTTGACCTCATTGTCTTGGGTAAGCTTCAGGGAAGACTTTGGCAGAATATTTTGAGTGGGTTGAAAGAAAAAGAGTGTTTTCTGATGAGAAGTCCATTTTTACAGATTACATTGGGTGGGATGAAAAGTGTGTTTTGTGGTTTTCTGATGCATCTTCTTCTGTCCAGTGCAGCATCACATGGAAGGGAAACACCCTTCCTTAAGCTCACCTTCCCCCACGTGTCCTTCTTCAGACATTGGGGACTATGGGAGATGGAAATGCTTTCCAGGACACGTCTTGTTAGCTGCTAACTGTGACTGAAGAAGTGGACATTGGAATGACCTAACCTTGTTGATCCTGGGTCCCCTGCTCTTTGTCCCCACCTTCTCATAACTCCCGTTCTCCTTCCAAGAAGTATCTTTGCTCCCAGTTTGCTCCTTTCTCTTGTACCTGCTATCTGGGATTCTAGGAGAAGCAGCCTCCAAACGGTGCAGCTGTTGTGATTGTAAAGGGCGAGCTTTCCCCCTGCCCTGCCTGGTTACAGTCCCTGTGAGGTATCTGCAGGGACTCATGAAGGCTCCAGTCATTGCAGACAAATCACAGATGCTCCAGAGGCTGGGGAGAACAGAAGGTGGAGAGTAACTGGATTATTAATTCACACCCCAAACGAAACTGCTGTGCTAGAATACACAGTAGTGAAAGAGGCACCCAGAGTTTCACATCCCATCTAAGGTGCAGCTGCAGGGGGAATATCAGGATTTAGCTTAAGAAAACGCAGCCAGGGCCTCCCTGCTGGTGCAAGGGGTTAAGTGCCGCACTATGAAGCTATCCACAGCCACTGCAACACGAATTCGATCCCCAGCCAAGGAGCTACCCACATGGCGCAGCAGACCTCTCCTGTCTGACCTGCTGCTCCTCTCAGCAGTATATTTTGGTCAGTCTGCCTGTTGTGTTCCCCACTCTGTCTCTGGTGATCCTCTCACTTCCTACAATTCTGGCCTGTACCCCAGCTCTTCTATGCACAAATGGATGAATCTTTAAAAAAAAAAAAAAGGCAAAAAAGAAAATGCAGTCAGCACTTTGTTTCAGGTGCCCCGCTTTGGGCAAGAGTGGCCTCACTGTTGCCAGAGTGGGTGGTGAGTGCTGTGTCCAGGCGGGTGTTTATATAGGATTTATCTGGTGAGGATGTCAAATTTCTCCTCCGGGATTCTAGTAGACAGTTTCTGTCACTACCAGATGGAGGAACTAGAGCTAAGAGCTTCCCAGGTCTTGCAGTGTGTTGGGTCTACAAAGCTCCGTCCATTCTAATTGGGCTCTGTTGTGCACATGCTGCTGGGTCAAGGCCCGACTGGCCCGAGGAGCATATCTACCCTCCTGTGGCCCCTGGAATGAGACTGACTGGGGGATTCTCTTGGGAAGGAGGAGGCAGACACCCCATCTGTGCTGCTCAGCAGGCACGTGCTCTTTAAGGATCACGCTGTTCAAGTTCCTCTTCTGCCCCCCTCATACCTCTCCACTCCACTACTGACTCTTACTCAGGTTGCAGGTACCCGCACCCCTATCTCTGTAGCCACCACCTCTCCAGCCTCCTCACCACTGCCTCTCAGGTCTTGGCATCAGCCATGTCAGGATGCTCAGTCAGAATAAGCTCCACAGGGTCTCCCCTCCCACTTATTTACAAGGTTGCCTGCCTCTTTCCAGGATACCCCACCTCCTTCAGCCTCTACATGGAAAGATATCCCTAGCCTTGGAGGCCCATTTCATGTCCTCCTTCTTGAGACCGAGATAGCTCTTCCCAACAACAGAGATACATTCCTGCTTTATCTCCACTCCGCTCACACAGTGTTGTCACCCCCTCCCGGCAGCTAGCCCACTGCCGCCTCCTCTTCCTCCTGGACTTGTCTCATCAGTCCTTCACCACGCCAGGACCTCATTCATTTTGAAGTCCCTGTGAGATGGACAGGGGAGCCTTTTGTAATCGGTCCAAGTCTGTGAGGTGAACAGAGGCAGGTTCTCCCCTTTGCCTGTAATTGGGGGATGACATTGATATTCAACCAGGAGTAATCCAGGCCACAGCCCAAGTCACTGTCTTCAAAGAGTGACAGCCACAGACCCTGCAAGGATGAACAAAGTGGCTAGCTCTGTGGAAGAAACCTGCCCGCTTCATTTGAAAATCATGAAGAATGGGGGGCCTCCCCTGGTGGTGCAGCAGTTGAGCACTGGGCTGAAAGGCTGCCCGCAGCCTCTGCAGCGCCGGTTCGTTCTCCGGCTGCCAGCAAGGGTCCCACAAAAAAAAAAAAAGAAAAAGAAAAAAGAAAAAAAAGAAAATCATGAAGCATGGGAGTGACTGACTTGGGAGAGCAGCTATACTTTCAGCAGACAGCAGCCCTGGCCCTCGCGCCCTCGGGCCATGGATCTCAGGCCCAAGGGTCCCCAGGAGGATGTGATGGGAGTCGCTGGCCCTGGTGATAGCTGAGCTCTCCCTGTGGGTGGTGTCAGGCATATCTGCCAGGGATGTGTGACGCTTTCCCCAGCACTGCACTGAAGCCCGGCTGCTGCATAGACACAGCACTGGGGCAGCCCGGGGTCTCCAGGATCAGGCTTCCTCCCTGTGTAGTCGCTATATCCTTGTTCTTCCCTGTGGGTCCTGGCCTCAGCTGTGCCAGTGCTCCCACTCACGCTGTCTCATTGCTATTACTGCCTGGGCCACCTCTTCCTAACTCATGACTCATCCCCCTACTTAACCCCAGACCCAGACACTCAACACCCTCTGCCTTTTATTCACCCATTCACACTCAACGCTTCCTGGATCAAAACAAATTCAGAGTCTTTCCCCTGAAACTTCTATGCTCCCCCACCCCCAAGCCTGGCTCCTCTGGATTCTGCCCATTGTTTTACACATTGACCTTGTCCATCTGCCTCTAACTGATCTGGGTTCTGTCCCTTTACCTCTGTCCATCCTGCTGCCACCTTAGTCAGGCCCAGTTCACCCTCTATAGTTGGGGTGGGGGCCTCTCCTTCCCTTCTTTTTACTTTGTAACCAGTGACCTGACATTTCCAATCACAGATCTAACCTTGTCTATCACCTGTGTGCTTGGAGAATAATATGTATTTTCTTAACATGGCATAGAGACACTTTACACATCCATAGCCCCACCCCACTCCGGCAGTGCCAGGACATGGAACATTTTCATGCCTTCTGGCCCAATCTCCCACCTGCAAAAGTATGTCTCCATCACATGTTATTCTCAAGAGTATTTTTCCAAATGACAAAATATATTTCTTTCTCATCTTCATATCCCTGGAGCCACGCATAGTTATTGGCACACAGTAGGTGTTCAACGTGTGTTTATTGATTGAATAAGCATGCTAGCAATTTGGAGTGGTCCTCATTTTTCTAGTTGTTCACTTATCTACCTGTGGCCTGCATCTTCCCAGGTTGGCGCCTTGAGAGGCTGCTGCAGCCTCTGTGATGGCTCTGAGGGACTGTTGATATAGCAAGACTGTTGCGGGGTCACTGTGGGCAGGACCTGTGTCCAGATATTCAGGCTGCCTCCAGCCAGCAGACACAGTCCTCTGCTGCCTTTGCTTTACAACAAAGTGGAACGAGGTTCCTTGTGCTCCTTTTTCCAGGCCCTTCCCGAGGCAGGGCCATGCTCACGTTCATGGCCTCTGACAGCGAGGAAGACGTGTGTGACGAGCGTACATCCCTGATGTCAGCCGAGAGCCCCACGGCGCGTTCCTGCCAGGAGGGCCAGCAGGGCCCAGAGGATGGAGACAACGCTGCCCAGTGGGTAGGTTCCTAGCAGTTAGGCCTTGAAACAGCCCCATGGGGGCCTCCCTGGTGACCTAGGGGTTAAGTCTCAGCAGTACCATTACTTCGGCCTGAGTTCAATGCCTGGCCAGGGAGCTACCCACATGGCACAGCAGACCTCTCCTATCTTGTCTGCTGCTCTCCTCAGCAGTGTATTTCAGTAGATCTGCCTGTTCTGCTCCCCACTCTGTCTCTGGGGAATCCTCTCACCCCACACACCTCTGGCCTACACCCCAGTGCATCAATGCATAAATAAAATAAATCTTAAAAAAATAAAAATAAAAAAATAGGGCCTCCGCTGGTGGAGCAGCAGTTGAGCGCTGGGTTGCGAGGCTGCCCGCAGCCTCTGCAGCGCCAGTTCGATCCCCAGCCACCGGCAAGGGTCCCACAAAAAAAAAAAAAAGGCAGCCCTTCAGGTTCCCATAACAAATGGATAGAAACCAGCCATTGCTGAGGTGGGAGGGGGCTGTAAAGGTGAGAAATGGCCAGAGGGTGTCCATCCAGTGAGTGGATCTCTGTCTGTGCGGGTGCTGTTGTGGGCGCTGCATGTTCACAGCCTGCTACAGTCGACTTTGCAGTGGGCTCGGTGACATTCTCCACCCCAGCCCCTGCCCCTTAGGTTGTTCTTTCCTCCTCAGGTTGTTCTTTCCACAGGGGAGATAGTGCTGCATGCGGGGAGGGCTGCAGAGAGGCTAGAGCACAGTGGGATGGGGACCTTGTTGGTAGATAGTCAGATGTGCTACCAAGAAATAAATACACCTATTTCATGTTCGCTTTGGAGGTGGGGGGTTGTTTAATTCCATTCAGACCACTCTCACAAAAATACCATAGACTGGATGGCTTGCAAACTAGGCATTTATTTCTCACTGTTCTGCAGGCTGCGGAGTATAAATTCAAAGCCCCAAGTATCCAATGAGGGCCTGCTCCAGTGCATAGATAGTTGTCTCTGTCCGTGTGCTCACCTGGAAGATAGAAGGGGCAGGGCGCTCACCCCATTCCCGTGGGTTCTGCCCTCATGACCTACCTGCCTGCCTCTCAAAGGCTACTCCTCCCAATACCAGCTCACCTGGGGTCAGGTTTCAACATCGGAGTTTGGCGGGGCACAAACTTTCAGACCACAGCAGGAAGGGTGGGTGGGCTGCATGGTGATCTTGTCTCCTCAGCCCACAGAGCGGGAGAAGTCACCTCGCCAAGTCATTTCCCTTCCCATCAGGGTAAAACAGTGTCCAGTTTTGCCTGAGTCCCATTCTCTGTTTTTCCTTTTTGGGTATTTAAAAACTTTCCTGTATGGATTTTCTTCCTTCTGGCCAGTCTTTACCCCCTTGCTGAAATCTGAGATTATTTCTTCTGTCTTTCCTTGTACTCTGGGCAAAATCTCTCCCAACTGAAAGCTAACTAACTCACTGCTCCCAACTTACTGCCCAGTGGCTTCTAGGCCTTTTCTTGCTAATTTCTTCATCTTATCTCCTGGGGAGCTTGTGCTTTACAGTAGTTTCAGTTCCTGCTCATTGAAAGTTTTCCTTTTCTCTCTCAGTTGAATATCTAGATTGGATTTTTCCCTAAAAGAACAGATACTGAAACAATAGTCTTTTTTAATTTTTTGTTTCATTTTGATTTTCATTTGACTGTTACTCTAATTAACAAGATAGCTAATGGCCCTGAATTACTACAATTGCAAACCAGACATTTTTGGAGATGGGTGTATGCCAGCATTTGGCGGGCATCCTACTCTTTGCTGCTGGCTCACTTCCATTCACACCTTCCCATAGCCTGGAACCTCCCAGATGCTTGATGTCCAGTTAGCCTCAGCTACAAATTAGTGTCCTGATTTTGGGGAATTTATTTTATTTATTTTACATACAGTTTACATCATTCTTCCTTTTTGTTCATGTATGCTTTCTCCTCTCAGGTGTAGTCCCTGTAAAATTCCTATCACCAATTTACCCGTGAACCATCACCATAGTCCCTTGTGCTCTTCCCTCCCTTGTTTTGATCCTCTCCCTCTCCCTCCTCTGCAGAGCACCTCTGTTTATAGTTGCCTGTTAATTTTATTTTTAATTTATTATAATTACTGTATTTTCCTGATCCCTTATTTGGTTTCCCTACATTCCTCCTATGAGTTAAACCATCTGTTATTTTTCTTTTTCTTTCTGGCTTATTTCACTGAGCATAATCCCTTCCAGCTCCATCCATGTTGCTGTGAATGGCATGAGTTTATCCTTCCTGATTGCTGAATAGTATTCCATCGTGTACATATACCACATCTTTTTGATCCAGTTATCTGTTTTGGGCATTTGGGTTGTTTCTCTATCTTGCCTGTTGTAAATAGTGCTTCAGTGAACATAGGGGTGTAGGTATCCTTTTGAATTAATGTTTTTATGTCCTTTGGGTCGATCCCTAGGAGTGGAATTGCTGGTTCATCTGGTAACTCTATTTTTAGTACTTTGAGGAACCTCCACACAGCTTTCCACCAGTTTGCACTCCCACTAGCAGGGTAAGAGAGTTCCTTTTTTTTCCACAT